TTGTTGGGAATAGGTGAAATGGATCCGTTGTGTTCGATAAGATTGCAGAGTGTGGTTTCCACGACGATGGAAACGTCCGAGTCCGCGGGATGTTAATCTCGACGAAAAGATATCTCGTTACCATGGCACCATAAACAAGTCAACCACATTGCAATCCAGACACACGAACTACGCCTTTGCCCTTAAGGGCTCCTGGCAACAATGCTTTCGCCTTGGCCCGAACGAACAGGATCTCCGCGAAGGATCGCACAGGCGCCAATGGCGATGATGTAGGTGGATCTGAATGCAGCATAGAAAGAGGAGAGGTAAATAGTGAAAGGGGAAAAGAGAGAAAACCAGCGGACGATCTGTGGAGCTTAGGCAGAGTCACGGTGCAGAGTCACTGCACTCCTATGCCCCGTTGCGCACCGCTGCGAGAGAGCCCTGCACCGCGGACGCGAGCGGGCGAGCAGCCGGTTTGCTGGCTCGAGGTGTATTTTTCATTGACAACGAGAGAAAATAGGATATATATATATATACCCCCGCCATCCGCTAACGTTCCACGAGAGTGAAAAAGTTCGCATCGACTATTATTAGAACCGTACTTAAATAAGATTACGTGGATTGTAGGGACAGGTATGCGCGCTGACGGCGCACTATCTTCTACCGCTCTATGCAACCACACCGAGGATAACTCTGCGAGCAACGTCATAACGAATCGACTTAATATAACCGAGAAACATACCAATAACCCGGCACCGGGATCCATCGATTTCTCCTCGATCCACGGTTTCGCTTCGATTTCGCTTTATCAAGAGGAGAAACGACGCCGAGTAACACAACGAAATAGAAGATACTGGATCGTGTTCCACGAACCAAAGTGTACAATCTCTCCGCGTGATACCTTTGGAGAACAAAGTTTCCTCGCGTCCGTAGGGGGAAAGTACACTTACATTGCTGCGTTCTCTCCATCGTTCGCATCGAAACACCGTAAGCTCTCGACGATATTCTCTCGTGCATCTAGCCTCGAGTGCTTCTTCGAACGCGGAAGCTTGTTGCGGGGGAGTGCACATGCAGCATCGCCGTCGTGCGGCCGTTCGGCCGGTCGACCGGCCTCCTCGGAAGGTCGTGCCATTCAGCGGCCGTTCACCCGTCATCCCTTTCTTTTTCTACTCTTCCCCTTCTTCTTTTTCCTAGCTATCTCGGGTAGGTACGTATAGCCAATACCCCGCTATTGTTACTACGTGTACATTCGCCATGCGCTTACTCGATCCGCTGGGAAAACGTTCGGCCTCTTCGACGAGCTTGCGATCAGACTCTGACGTCTTGAACCGTTCGTTGAACCACCGACGAGGTATAAGAATAGACTTTTCATCTTATGGGAGTTGGTGGCCCGCCTAAATTGTAGTATCGACACCTTAAAAAGCCTGTGATTTTAGCGACCCCTACGTCATGAGAAAAATCACCCCCAATCTGTGATGGGTAGTGACACTAAAATGGAAATGGGGTCGCCCCAGAAAGGTGGGCCAAAAAAATATATTGTATGAAATGTCTACTCCTATACCTCATCTGTGGTTGAACGTAATGGAAATTATTGTACATACGATGACGATAAAGAACTGGACCAAGGACAAAATAGGTACATTTACAGTAGCTGTCGTGTCTAATAAAGATGGCATTCACCCCCCTGTACCTACTTATCTTTCGAACACGTCCCCACTTAATCGGTCCTCTTAGAAATTAATTAATAAACAGGATAGTATGACGAATTCGTGCAGAGGAGAAAATTGAATTTAACGAGTTTCGAATGAATTTCTGTCTCCTAGATCGTTCGCGTTGCAAAGAACGATGTGGTATTACCTACAAGACTAATGGCGGATGAGTCGCGTGGACAGACCAGTCGGGAGCACGGTCGAAAGGAATTCGATTCGTAGATTTTCTCACGAGCCACGCTGCTGGCATGACAGGTTCTTCCTCAACGTTGCAGTACACTTAGAGCGATTTCTCTTCTTAATCGCGACGTATGTCCTCCAGTCTTCGTCCTTGGACAGAAGAACGTACGATCGATACTGCGCAATCCTCGATAACCTCTTTGATTAGAAGAATTCAATAAGAAAGAGAGCCAGACGGCGCCAGCCGATGCTAAGAAAAAGCGGTCGTGTGAGGCGTTCTAATGCTCGAATACCGACAAGCTTATATATTATGTACTTCCAGATGGCATAACCGTTCGTCGTTCGATCGATGTTGACAGTTATACAAAAGCGTATATAAGTGCATTGAATCGTTCGGCCCGGCCGTGAGGATTTTGCTGCTGTGGCTTCTGTCGTAAAAATACTGAATACCAAAGCGGATGAACGTAACGAAAGGCCATTACCAGATGCAAGTACGACTTTTAAAAACGAATGTCTCCGATTCGAACAGCAACTGGTCTTCGTTTTCCAACGCGAAACAATTTCTATGATACCTTTGCTCGTTAAAATGTATCATTTAACGTTGGTTCACCGTCATTACTACGACCGATTATATTTTCAACGTTTTAAACGCTGTTAACGTCAACGTAATTAAAGCAATTACCGATAGACCCCACGATTCTGATCTTGGACGAACGAAGATCGAGGAGGGAGTGGACGGGCAGGTGGGGTATTGCGACTATTATGTCGTGAGAAACTATGCGATTAATTTCCTGCTACACCAGTTACCGTCGCTACCGACGTATAAGTTTCAGTGGCAAGAACCACCCAGATACGTCCAAGCTTTCTACAATATTCCAGCATAGACGAATGCACTAAGGGGTCCGGTATACAAGCGTCTACCAAAACCATTCTGGGTGTCTTTCGACCCTCTGACGAAGCTGGCAAGAAGGGTGTAAGCATAATCAATTAAAGAAGATTATAATTAACTAAATATCGAGGTCTGTCGGTTAAAAATCTGAACAAAATATAATCACATTCCTTAAAGTTTGCGCTTGACAGGTTCCATCCCTCCCCCTGAAGTGGGGGTAACACCTGGACAATAATCATGTAGAACAAGCCAGACGATAATCGAGTGGAATCTGTACCTCGTCTGAGATGGAACATAGCACTCGACAGTTTTTTCTAACTGTCCGATAATGTTGCTAATCTATTCATTACTCAATTATTTTATACGTTGCGACATTCCGTTGAAATTCATCATTTCCATCGAGACGATCCTCAACGTTTATGTTTTCATACTACCAAGGCCAACCGGTGCGTTCACGGCAAAAAGATGGATCGTTGCTCGATACCATTTAAGTAGTGCATTAGTCACAATCGATGTCTCGTTAACAGTTTTGAGTTATGCCTCGAATCATCCAGGGAAACGTGACTGAATCGAATAAATAAATACCCGCGATAAAAATGAACGCCGCGGAACGTTTAGTTGCGTATGAAATTGATAATCACGAACGTAGGTATACGTGTTGTACGGGCGATAGTAAAATGGACAATTTTGCGTACGTGGCACGATTCAGCGAATACTCGCGTTAAGTGAATAACTCATCGGATAGGCCGGTTACATCAGAGAAACGTGGCGTTTATACATATCGTATTATTATACTGTTCGTTCGCCGTGGCTACAGTTGAATCACGTTGGAATGTAGAGAGTTTAAGACTCGCTTAGAGAGGATTTGCGATAGGCAACACCCGCGCCTTCTCCCTCTTCGCAGCTTCGCAATAATCCCTTCTGCCAAAGAGTTGCCAGCTGCAGTCGTCCGTACCTTGTCTTGCAGTCGCCGCGCACACTTGGGAACACCGTGGCGTGTCGGGAATGCGGAAAGGACGAGTTTCTTCTACTTTTGTTGCACGTATCTACCTGGTAACCTGAGACGCGGTGATGCGGTGGCTCTTCGAAAACCACGTCCGTTGCTAGAATCTTTTAGAACAGATTGTATTCGTTCTTATCAGATCCGAACACTTCCTCGGTTAGGTGACTCTAGTTAAGTTGCTCCTATGCTGTTACACCTATAGTAAACGAGCAAACTCGTGTCGCGCGATGAAACCGGTGCGGATTTCTTATAATTAGAGCATCACCGTTAAAATGAACCAGGAATCTCGATATATCATACGTTTCAATGATCAACGAAGACTCATTCGACAACATATTCCTGATTTTTTTTCCATTCCAGAGTCCGCCACCAGGATGGCCACGACACCATTTCTTCGTTGAAGTATATTTACAAATTTTGTTTTCTTGAAATCTTAGACGAACGTTTATGCGCATTTATGCACGCTTCCGTTTACTCGAAAACAAATGCGTCCGATGCCCGTGCAAACGTCCAACTCACTCGTAAACCGATGGTCTATAGAACGGTTCGCTGCCACCATTACGATCGCCATTAACTATTTTACAGGTTTATCGTTGCTTCATCTCGAGTACCACGTTTCGCTTCGACACGATGCTTCACGGTCTCCCGTGCTTTACGAGCTATTGTTTCGATTTTTCTTGCCTATTGACCAGCAGCAGCAGCAGCAGCAAGAATAGGCCCGGGAATTTCGGTAGATTTAGCGATTTATGGACGGTATGTATTATAAATTATTTATTCATTTTTTTCGCCAGGTCTCATTTCAGCGTCGTGGACGTTGAACCGATAAATAGAGCAGTTTGACTTCAATGGAAGGCTTTCAACTTCTTTTCAGCCATAATGAAATGAGGTTAATAAGAATAGATGATAAACACTGGTTAAGATCGTAAATCATTCGAGAGTTACCACCTGCGTGCCTTACAATAGCTATCGTCAATAATGATCACCATGAATGAAACGATAAAAATGTATAGCAAATGAAGAAACAAAGAATTACAGCCGGAATTTCAAGATTGACGAACCGTCAAAAAATCTAGTGGTAGACAAGGAGATCTTGTAAAATGGACTGTACCACTTTGATATTTAACTTGTTATTAATCGATAGCGTTGCTCGATAGACGAATCAATATGAAAACATCAGCATAATGTACTGGCATTTATGAAAAATATTTCAATTCTGTATACATTTATACTACGAACACTATGATGTATGAGGTGAATTCAGTTGATTCCGTTCGGATGAAAAATGTTCATGACCCAAAGCAAGTGCCTGAGAAACGTAAAACACAGAAACCATCAAATATTGCCTTTTTAATATGTAAGTGTTATTCGTTACCTCTCCGAGCGCGATGGCACTTTGTAGAGTGGGTACAGTTGCGTTGAGAAGCTTACGTTCATAATCGTTCAGAGGTGGAATACCCAAATGTTTCTGAATACCATCCGGCCCCAATGCCAAAGGAGCAGCGAAGTATGTTACGTCTGGTATCACGTAAGATCGGACATAAGCGCATTCTACGACATCGTGTTGGTGTCGCAAAGCTAGATCGAACATTAACGGAACGTAACCATCTGTGTTGATAAATATAAGAAAATATTTCGCTAATCGTAAACTTTACAAGCATCGAGATAATACCTTTGCAAAGGGACATACAAAATCTGGCTGCTCCAAAAGCCATGGCAAAACATGTTCGTTCTTTCTTTTTACTTATTTCAGAAATCTCGTCGTCGGCGAATCTTACCGCCTTCGTTAATCTGCTGGCTTCTTGCTAATCGATTAATATATTGACTACTAGATTAAAACACTAGGGGTACGTGTCATAGTGTGTTGAGCAAATATATGTAGTTAACCTGAGATATCTTGTTGCAAGGCTTCGCGCGCGAAAAAATTGGTATGCATGTCTCTGAACAACTTCCACCGATCACAGGTATCGTTATGCATTCTGGTTCGATACCTATAACTTCCGCGGCAAACGTATTTGCTCGGAGGCATTCGAGGCTAATTACGCCAAAAAGACGATTGTAATCGTGAACGCCAGCTTTTTTGTACATTTCCAATGCCAGGGGTATTAAGCTGTTTATCGGGTGCATTGCTACCGCGACCATAGCCTGAAGAAAAAACGATTAAAGTCTGAAACCAGTTGGGAATCACGAATGACGAACCGATATACCAAAGTTCGGTGAGATTTCCAGGATAAGACCTGTCGAATTTATGAAATAAATTAAATGCCAAGGGAAATCAAACTGTGGTTTTTTCGAATTCTATTAAGTCCAAACGTTCAAATACATATGTCCATCTGGTGTATGTGCAATTACGTTTGAAAGATTACGAATGGTACGATGAAGAAATCGGATACAAGTTAATCATATGAAATTATTTAAGCTCGTTTACCTGGGGGCAATATTTAATAATATTCGGTAGCAAGTCTGACAACGTATCGGCATTACACCTCAATACATCATCCGGGTTTAATTCTTTCTTGGTGAGTCGATCTGCAATGATCATTACTATTTTCGCACCATCGAGAGTCCGTTTCAAACATGCTTCGGAGGAACTGCATGTGCTAACCTTGCACCTCGTGTCGATATAATTCAAGTCCAGTGCGAGGCCATAAGTACATTTATTATCGTAGATGGCCAACTCGTCGATTAAAGGCGACTGTTTTAGAAATAATGATAGACAACTTCCTACGGCATGGGAGTACAATAAACATAGGATAGACACATTAACGGGGTGTGTAACCTAATCGAATCTATTTACCCGTTTTACTGGCAGCGCCAAGAATAGCTACTTTCATGGATTTTGAAGAAAATGAATTAAACTGCGTGTAGCATATTTTTAGAGCGTTACACCTCGATCTTCTAAGAGAACAAGAAGGAGATCGTTTCATCGAAAAATTAAGATACCATCCGTGAGGAACACGAGAAATTAAGCTTCGAGGCGCATAAATTGCAGATGGAAACATACTGATGCATTTTCTTTTTACAACTATTCAAAATACATCTGGGATATACATTTTCCGCCGAGAATCACGCATACTTGACATTTCGAACAAATGATTGACTCGTTACATTCACAGATCCTTCATTCTTATGTTGAATTTCAGAAACGTCGCGACGTATGAAGCAAAGTCGACTAACTGGACAACATTCCACGAACGAGATAAAAAAAATGAATTTATATTCTGGTAACGGGGTGTTTCCGTACAAGGCGATAAAGCGTTTGAACGTGATCAAAATAAGGAACCATTTAGAATGATAAACGAAAAATAAGTGGCATTTGCATTTATCGATACGAAAACACTCTGATAATAAAACGAAACCAGACGAGTTGCAATTCCGTGTAAATCCTTGACGAAGAAGGCTATCCGGCGAACAAAGATGTAAATACAACTAAATAATACAAAACCGAAAGAAAATACGACCAATGCTTGAACCGTATGCTGAAATGTTGACAATGCATCTGATTTATAAAATCATATGCATTTAATAAAATAAAACTTTGTTCGCTTAAGTATAAACGAGTCTAAAGCATTACAACGTGTGGCCGTGGTGCCATCTTTAGTGCTTGTTTTAAATCTTTCACGATGATATCGTAGGAAACTTTTCTTTCAAAGCTACAATACGGCTCCGATCAATTCTGTGTACCTCTGTTCAGATAGTCTATTGATCTCATCTACAAGAACATTTCTCATTATAATAACACATCAGACAAGGAACATAATAATCGTCGGGAAGACCACAGGCAACGAAACGATCACGTTCGTCAGGAATACCATTCTCTGTTAAAGTCAAGTCAAGATTCAGTTCTTTTCCTTCGAATTTCCAAGTATACGATCTTCCGTTTTTATTGTAAATTAGAGCACGCTCCTGGATACGTCTAACGGTGTCCTCCTCGCAAACCTTTGTTTAAGATTATCGTTAGCGCCCCGATCTCTGTGTTACAAGAAGAACAAAGATTTCTTACCATCATAACAAATTGCGTTCCAGTGAGCACATTTAAAATTCTACATGGTCGCGCATTTTTAGTTAAATATCCCTTTCTATAGCTTTCATCGAGCCACCAAGGGCATTTATCCAACGGTCGCCAGGAAGAGGCAGGTACCACGTGAGGAATTACGTCCGGTATCGGACCGTGGGGGCAATATGGTACCAGAATCCCGGTAACGGGATGGACATAATGTTTAATATCGTTCTTGTCATGGTCGAACCAATGACTTATATCTTTACCAGCGTGCGCCACTAACGGTTGAATTTCTTTTCTCCTAGCCCAATCCTTGCAAAGACCAGTCAAATCGTACACTCCGCCATTATATGAGACCCAACAATCAACGTTACTATTATGCACTGCAACCTCTGTCGGCAGGAAAAACTTATTGTTCTTGCATATGCTGTGTAGAGTGTTCGTAACGTTCATAGAGATTTTATAGCAAGTGTCGTCTTCACAGGAAAGAAGCTGCTTTACAAGCGACATTTTCTAAAATACAAAATGTTCGTTATCTTGTTTTTAGATAATTGATTGAATTTCTTAGATGACTTTCACTTGAATTTGTACCGCGATTCTATACAGATACGCCCTTCGTATTATCCGGAAATTTTCCAACTGTCTTACGTGCTATTTTTTCATATAACGCATTGCAAGATGTCATAGACCCTTTTCAAGGTGGCGGAGTTATTTATTCGAGAGATGCTAAAATATTAGGTGTTTCTCTTTAAAGAACATATTCGTTTCGATTAAGGTGATGTCAGTGACTCCGGTATAGGCAACCTTCAAGTTTATTAAACATTATAGTTACTAATTGCTTCAACATTAGAAAAACTTTTGGTATTTATGGCGCATAAATAGGTAAAGTATAGTATACAAAATCCTAAACTATGCCCAAAAAATATTGCTCAATAAATGCCATACTCTGCTAACTTCATAATGTTTCCATTGCATAAAAGACCTAGGTAGGTCACAGGAATATTCGATTATTCAAGAAATGAACCTTATAAGACAACATTTTGGTTGCAGATTCTTCAACTGTGCCTATAGTAGGAGTGCACAGTTAATCGATGTGCAATATTTTCATATAATTAAAGCAATTAGCTTAACAAATAATATATGCCGCTAGTAACTTTCAGATTACAATGTTGGGTACTTCTATCATTTCAAACCTGAAGATAGTCACTGTGTTGTGGCTATTGCAGGCGATTGAATGGCTGCCTCGTCCAGAGAGTGCACATTCTGTTTTGCTGTAATTAATTTTACGTTACTTGGTGATTTACACGTGAAATATTCTCTGCCTCGTATAATTTGGTAAGTCTTTCGATACATTTTAATAGCCTTTGGAAATACGATTCGTACAGTAAGTGACTTATTATAATTCTTTCGTTATTCCGAAACGTGCTTGTAAGATTTACGGCCGGTTATTTATTTCTTGCTAAACATCACGTTCAATAGTCTCTTTCTTCAACGTCACGCGCTTTATTCGTCAATCGATTCGGACAGCGCGTGTACAGTTTTCTAAACCAATTTCGACAGGGATTTCAAGATCCATAATGTACAGTAGTTGTCAGAACTTGAGTTGAACTGTGACATACTATAATAGCATGTTACACTTACACACAGCGATATCATTACACATTGTTCGAGGGACGTAGAGCCATGTAAATTTTTGATCTGTTGAAGGGAAAAGTAAGCTAATTACCTAGTTTATGCAATTCTTAGCTATATTTGTGAATCTAGTAGATAGTTTTCCATTCATCTAGCTTCACTAGGGATTGAAGCAATGAAAGAAAACAAAAAACACATGATACTGCTAAGGTGATGGTACACATAATCTGTTTGCAATATTTCTTATTAAAATCATGATATTATTATACACCATGATGCAAAATAATCAATAAAGATAAATCTATATATGTATATAAGGTAACATCTAACAATTGCTTTGTGATCATGTTTAAGCAAAAATTAATGTTTTAAGTATACAAAATTATTTACCACAATATAATCTCCCGGTTTTTGTATCTAAAAGATAAGTATTCTAGAAATTTCTTGAAATCAATAAAATTTTATATATTTATATTGTTTGACACTGGGTTAATCTATATTTTATTGCATTTATTAAATTCTTATAGGATTGTTGAAAACATAGCAATAGCAACAACAGCAGCAACAGCAATATACGAAATTTTGAAATGGAAAAAGGCGCGTACGGATTATTGTGTCGCGCAGAGAGAAATAATGGGGCTGATGAAGGAGCAATGGACATGGTACCTAGTGAAGAAAAAGTGGCCATCCTGGATGCAGGGGCACAATATGGTAAAGTAATAGAACGAAAAATTCGTGAACTGAAAGTTTACAGTGAAATTCTGCCTCTTGACACACCTGCATTCACCCTTCAACAGAAAGGCTATAAGTAAGAACATTGTAACTAGACATCACGGCAGAATGATAGAAATATTTGTAGATTGTAATTAAAATGTTGATAACAAATTGTAGAGCTATTATAATTTCTGGAGGGCCAAATTCAGTATATGCAGAGGATGCACCTAGATACGATGCAGATATCTTTAGAATAGGAATTCCAGTACTAGGTATTTGTTATGGGATGCAAATGATGAATAAGGAGTTCGGTGGTACAGTTATTCGAAAAGAAGGCAGAGAAGATGGTCAGTTTTCAGTTGAAATAGATTCCAAGTGGCTGTTGTTTAAGTAAGTGAGCCTGAAAATGTTTTCTTTGTCATCTTCCTATGTGAATCTGATTTGAAAAGGATTAATTATGTCTTAGGGGCTTGGAGAGATTACAAATGGTACTGTTAACACATGGTGACAGTATAGATAGGATGGCCGACGGTTTTCGTGTTATTGCCAGGTCATCAAACTTTATAACAGGAATAGCAAGTGATAAAATGAATTTATACGGGGTTCAGTTTCACCCAGAAGTAGATCTTACACCTAATGGCAAAACAATGTTGCACAATTTTTTGTTTCTTATTGCTGGCCTCTCTGGTAACTATACGCTTCACAGTAGAGAGGCAGAATGTATTCAATACATCAAAGATACTGTTGGTGACAAGAAAGTTCTGGTAAGATATACAGATGCTCAATGAAAACACATCTCCGTATGCATGCGTCGAGTAATTTATTTTCGATTTCTAAACTTTTGCGGTCTTTCAATGTTCATTATTTTATCGATGTAATAAAATGAAATTTAATAGTATACGAAACTTTTGGAGGGCACTTAAAAAAAAAAATTTTAACAGCAAATGTAACACACCAAAATGTGATTGTCAATTAAAATAGAAAAAAATGTTCATAGTTGTTGGTGAGCGGTGGCGTGGATTCAACGGTATGCGCAGCACTGTTACATAAAGCTTTAAGCAAGGAGCAAGTCATAGCTCTGCATATCAATAATGGCTTCATGCGGAAAGCAGAGACACAATTTGTGGAGAAAAGTTTGGCGCAATTGGGAGTTCGGTTAAAAGTTATTAATGCTGGTCACTATTTCATGCAAGGAACTACATCGGTTCCCCTGGATAATGTCACTCCAGTAGCCAATGCCAATGTTGTACACAATAAAGGAACATGCGGAACAGGAACTAGCCCAAGAACTAGATTAACTAAAATGCTATGCGCAACGATCAATCCAGAAGAAAAACGAAAAATTATAGGAGATGTTTTTGTAAGAGTAGCAAACGAGGTGATGGCGGAAATGGGATTAAAAGTGGACGAAGTCTTTCTTGGACAAGGCACACTTAGGCCTGACCTAATAGAAAGCGCCAGCACATTAGCAAGTGGTAAATGATGTTCATTTATAAGAATTTTTTCTCGCAACCAGTATCCCGTCAGGTTTACATAAGATATTTTATCCGTTTCTGTTAGGTAAAGCGGACGCGATAAAAACACATCACAATGATAGCGAACTCGTGAGAGCGTTGAGAGCACAGGGACACGTAGTAGAGCCCTTGAAGGACTTTCACAAAGACGAAGTGAGGCAATTGGGGTATGAACTCGGGCTGCCAACTCCCCTAGTAGCTCGCCATCCTTTTCCTGGACCCGGATTAGCTGTTCGTATTCTGTGCGCGGATGAACCTTACATGGATAAAGATTTCTCAGAAACGCAGGTATTCTTCTTTTTTTTTTTTTTGCAATACTAATAAGTAATAGCACACTTGGAGTTTTCTGTTAGATTAAGGAGAAAATTTTATACTGTTCGTAGGTGATAGTGAAAATAATGGCAGAATACGAGCAAATGCTTCAAAAGAAACACGGACTACTGAATCGTGTAGAAAGCGCGACCAATGAATCCGAACGCCAACATTTGCGGCAAGTTTCGAGTCGTCGTCATATCGCTGCAACATTGTTGCCTATACGTAGTGTAGGAGTACAGGTACGATTTGTAGGACTTTCAAACATTTGTAACTTATACCAAATCTCAGGGAATATTTAATAAGAAACACTAAACGATGTGATTAGGGAGATCGAAGAAGTTACAGCTACGTCGTGGGATTATCTAGCGAAGAAAACACGTCGGACGGAATAGAATGGCAGGATTTGTTGTTCCTGGCGAAATTAATTCCGCGAGTATGTCACAATGTGAATCGCGTGTGTTACATTTTCGGCCCTCAGTTACATCATCCGGTGACGGATATCACACCGACTCATCTTACGTCGAATGTGATAGCCACGCTTCGAGAAGCGGATCATGTAGCGAACCAAGTGTTATCCAGTAAGGACTGCATGGGGGCTATCAGTCAAATGCCAGTAGTTTTAATTCCCGTACACTTTGATCGTGACGCTGCTTCTCGGATACCTTCATGCCAACGTTCAATCGTTCTTAGGCCGTTCTGTACTAATGATTTTATGACTGGCACCCCAGCTATCCCGGGCAAAGAATTGCCGGTGCATGTAAGTTCGACGATGAATGTTCCAGCAAAACAATTTCGATCGGCAGTGATTAATCGTATATCAATTTCTTTGTCTCCACAGGTGGTGAAAAAAATGGTGATCGAAATATCTACAATACCCGGTATCTCGCGTGTTTTGTACGACTTAACATCTAAGCCGCCGGGAACTACTGAATGGGAGTAGTAAACGCTCATCCCTAACTCAACCCTTTCTATTTTTTCACCATCCCTGCGCGTAACGACTACAAAGTAAAAAGTATATTTAAAAATATATATATATATATTACAAAAATACGTACGAATTCAAGGTTTATGACTTCTTACCGATTTATATAAAACCTTTGAGCAAAATTCTTTCAAAAACATATGTTCTCGATTGTAAATTAATATGTTATCTAACAAAAATACTGATACTGTGTTCAATGAAATTGAAGGTAAGTATCATATTTGCTTGTAAATAGGTTTCTTATTAACCTCATTGTAAAAATATTAATTTATTCAATTCCGAAAAATTTACATTATATCATTGTTACACGGCAAATGATTGCATTTGATTGGTGGTACCATTAGATTGCTGTTATACTCGATCTGCATATAATGTTGAACGTATTTTACTGTTTTCCTGTATGTCCTATGCCAAATGCAATTTCCAGTTTTTGTCATACATCTAAAAATATGAACATAAATAAGTTAATGTATTACGTCTTTAATACCATTTTTATTTATCAATCGTAAATGAGTAAAACGATAACTATTCCCCGAATCCTACGTGTTACATATGTCACTTTAATATCCACCTGATACAAGGGTGTATATTACCAACGAATCTTGCATACAATATAGATATACCTGTGCATGGTTTTCAATAAAATATGTAAATCTTCGATGCGTTTCTTCTCCGGAAGCATGCTGAGAAATGTTGCGAGTGATAAAAAATCTACTTCGTTCACGATATTAGAATTAGTGATCCATATTTGTATTTGCATCTTCACCTGCAACCGTGTGTTCTACATTTCGATTATGCATACCCTACGTCCCGTAAAAAGTAAATCGATCGAAATTTAACAGGATACGATCACTATAACATTTTGTATGCTTTCCGATGAAGACAAAACGTTTCACCAAACCAAGCTACATCGATTTCTAGCGATAAATTAATCATAAACACTACCTGTTCTAGAGGTAGATTAAGTAAGCGATTTACAAGATCAATTAAAATGTCTTGATGTTGAATTCCATCTTCATTGTTTTCCGATATGGTACGATTATGAGAAAGAATTGCCTTAGCTTCGTCAGGAGTAACTTGATTATTAACTAATTCGATTCTTTCCACATGCGGTACTACGGATTTCGAAATACCATTATTGTACTTTTGATCCGGCACACTCTCATTTTTATTCTGCAGATTTCGAAACGCCGTATGTATACGGTTCTTTTTGTTATTTTTTGAAGATGCTACTTTAGAACTTTTACCGTTATTCTTCGTTTTACGCTCAATCTTTTTGCTTTCTTTCATGATATTATCATTTGTTCCTGTCTTCTTTTTATTAGCTGTACAGTACATCTGAACGTCACGCTTTAAATCTTCTGACAATGCGGCTAAAAACTCAGGATCGACTTGCGAGAAAGATATATTTTGCTCCTCGGGATTAAACTCGATGGTATTTGTATTCCTTGCCAAAGATGTACCACTATCGTTTTCATTTCCATCGCTGTTAGACCTGTTCTGATTTCTGTTAACACGGTATTCATTGAGTATTTCGTTCCGTATATCTTCGGGCAATTCTATTAAAACGGACATATCGATATCATGTATGGGTGGCATTTCTACTTTCGCTGATCTGGAAACACCTGGCTTCGTTTGCTTAAAAAAGTTTTCTTGCTGCGTTTGTACGCGGTTTTCTGACTTTTTCTCTTTAATTTTTGGCGCACTGGTAGTAGCAAGAGTAGTTTCTTCCTTACTGTTTGTCGCGGTAATCGTATGTTTGTTTCTTTGAATATCCAAAATTTCATTCCGAATTTCTTCCGGAAGCTCAGAAAGAATTGATTCATCGATATTAGAAGGTATATCTACTTTCGTATTTGTAGAAATTGCTACGTCAGAATTTGCGTCTTTCGACGACTGAACTTCGTTAACTGTGTTTATTTCTGCAGACCGCGTGACTGTATTGCTTTCTTTAATTTTATTAACGAAACTTGTTAAACTCATATCGCGCGATTTACCCTTTCGTATCTCTAATCTAGTTATCTGTATGCCGATACCTCTAGCATCTTCAGGCACTTTCAGCATTTGATTCCAAAGAACGATCACTTCCCTAAAGTATACACCAATAAATAATTTTTTTTCATTCTGTTCTACACAGAGAAGTTTAAACGTAATCGTGTCACTTACTTTGCTATAATATCGGAATCGTCGATCGGTGAGATGACATTCTTTGATTTGGTCATGTAGTCGCATAGCCCATGACCCATAAATTTTGCCGTTTCTTTTGGTGCTTCTTTAGCCCTGACCAAGAGTTTTAACGTAATACATCTACCCCTCGCGTTAGCTTTTCTTAATCGACTCGATACCTCAACGGATAATCTTTTTAAAAAGTCTACTGCATCAGCGTTACTTTCGAACCTTATCCCGTAATTAACTTCAGCGGAGACAGATTTTCGTATATGTTCCAAATTAAGTTTTGAATAATCTACACCGCGACACATATTATGTAGTACTTCCCCCATTTTCTTACCGAATTCCTTTTGTAATGTCGCCAACGAAATCGTTTGTAATTCCGCACACGTGCGTATATTCATAGTATTTAATCTGTTCGTTGTTGTCCACCCGACTCCTAATTTGAACAATCGAATAAATTATTACAGAATTAGTAACCCACCCCTCAATGAACACGAATCTTACCTGGCAAGTCTTGTACATTGAAGGTACCAATATATGTTTCAAGGTTCTCCTTTAAGTAAAACTGACCATCAGGCTTAGCTTTTCTTGTGGCTAACCTTGCCAACAACTTATTACCTCCAAATCCTGTTGACACAGGGCAGCCTGTCTTTTGCTTTATTTCTTCTCTGATTACACTTGCGAATTCCATTGGTGTTAAACAATACTCTTCAAGAATTTTTGTACATTCCGCATACATTTCATCACAACTAACTGCTTCAATGTCTAATGTATATGATGCCACAGTATTGTACAATGTGTATGAAACTTCCTTATACCCTTCAAAATCATACGGTATTGTCTTCAGACTAGGACACAATTTCAATGCCTCTCCTAAGAACATGCCATTCTTGACTCCAGCTTTTCGTGCTTCATAAGAGCAAGATGCTACTTCTGACAATGACCCTAGCTCATCTTCTGAAACTTCTTTACTGTTACTTGCAAGTTGTTTATTACCCTTTGCATGTGTTACAGCAACAGGCAATCCTCTTAATTCTGGTTTGTTCCTAAGACCAACGGAGACAAAGAAACAATCCATATCTATATGCATTATAATTGATTCTTGACTTATTTCCGTTTTATTCTCTTCTTGCAAATTAAATATATAATTTTTAAAACTGGATTCAGGATCAGACAGTGATCTACCCAACTTCATATCTCGCAAATCTTTTAACTTAGTTAATCCAGGAAATTTTCCACTAGTCTGATCTCTTAATTCATTCACGTAATCTTTAAAGGCTGCTCCCATAGTTGAGATGTGATGCAAGCGTGAATGACTATAAAACTCTGATATGAATTCAGAATTTTTTGTTGACTGAGCATCTCTTGAATTAAGAGAAGCTATAGGATGTGAAACATTTTCATTTGTAGTTGTACTCTCTGTCACAGTATTCTGATTATCATTGTCATTAACTAACATGTTCAAGTCATTATCCCTTTGCTTCTTATCATGCATTTTAAGGTGATTATCTATCACGTTTGTTTTATTTTGTATTTTGTATTTCAGTTGTGGCTGTGTGTTTGTACTACTTGAATAAAGTAAATAATGTTGAAAATTTAAAACTCTACCAGCCTTTATGCTATCTACAATCCATTGAGGTTTACATATAGGAATTGGATTTTGACTTTTCCTATATAATAATATCTTAGAGTATGGCAAATTAGATGCAATAATATGAGTTGTAACTCTAGGTCTCATGTAATGATGGTATATACCCCCGTGTGTCATCATTAAACGGCGAAGTTCATCTGCAGTTGGATCTGTGTACCCATTAACAAAAATCGCAATTCCTTGAAATATATTTGATGCATTATTAAACTCTTTATTTGCTTCAATTTGAAACTGTTCTTCCAACTTTGCTTGTTTAGCAGCCATATACCCACCCTAAAATCATTATATTCTACCTAGATTTATTACCAGTAAGTTTGCTAAAATATAATTCTTATTTCTACATACCCAATCTTCAAATCCATTTTCCCCCCAAGCTTCGCTTTTTTTCTTTTTGGACATTTTAAAAGATAGACAAAATACAAGTTTCACATCATGTTCAAACATATAATTTCAAATATTAACCATTACAACCATTATTAATATATATTGTGCGTTTACTTCTAAGTATTATGCACGAAATGAAATACTTTTACTAAATGCCGCCTGCTGTCTTTAAAAAGCATAATCACATATATAACCTTTATAAACAAATGAACGCCCACCAAACGTTTTTTCCCAGTTTAAAATACGATTTTAGATAAATATATGAAAGAATTGTTTTAACAGGTTCAAATGTGTTACTGCTGCATTAAACACGAATTGTTTATTTAACGGAGTGTCATTCTCGTACAGAAGTAAGTAACCGCAACCCATTTGGAACGCGACGGAAGGTCATTTCACTTAAGCGTTATTAACAGCATCACGGAAATTTAAATTAAGCCAATTCGTTTCGAGTAATATTTTTACACACTCCATTAATTTGTGCGAATTTATGATGAATCAATCGAAATACATCGATATATAAAAATAATTTTTTCCATTTATTCAACAATTATGGATACAATTGAAGTAGTGTATATTGGCAGTATCTATTCTACTTATACATACATGTTAAACTATACACTATACATTACATTCCATTCCATTTTCACTTATAACATGTGTTATGAGAGGGTAGCAATTTTGTGATAGCAAACTTTCCACATACAAACATTTTAAAACAGTAAAATATATATTTTCCACAGTAACAACAAGTAAAAAATAAAAATCGTATCAAACGATTTAATCTTTCAAAGAATGTTTCTAGAATGTATCGTTATTTGTATATCAACAAAAGGACTTGAATTTAAGAAAATAGGAGTTGCATATGTACAGATAATTTATAAATAGAAATTGCATGAGTGTGTGTAAAAACGATATAGTAATAACAAATAATATGAACTGTACTGAACAAGTAAAAGGTACTTTATAAATGTGCATGTGTATTTTGGAGAATTGACCATATGGTCAAGTGTAAACTAAGTAGGCCAATAAGTGACTGGAATATTTTTGCAGGTGCCAATTTACTATGTATACATGTCTCAAGTTTAAATCCCATTCATGGTTAAGCAAAATAAGTTTTGTACATTGCGTTCATTTGTTCCAAGAAAATAAATGTCAAAACAGTATGTGGACCTAAACGAGCATAGTAAGGAAAAAAGCCTTTCCACAATGAAAGCAATCCCTCATTTCGACAAACCCGTACTATAACATCTATTGTACCTTTGAACTCTGGTTTACCATCCACAACTTTCATATTTTGTATTCTGCAAGAAGTTCAACATTCAAAAAATGTGACATTATTTTCACACTTACATTGAATACATTTTTACGTTATTTCATACTCTTGTATTTACCTTGTTTTAGCAATATCAACTGGTATAGAAGCAGCAGTTGTTACTAAACCAGAAATCATGGAGCTTACAAAGTGCAATGTAATACCCTCCTGAAAATAGCCTACTCAAACAAATAAAATAGAAAAATTATAGCAATTCATTGCTACCCATTTGACAGACTCTTAAACAAGTGCACAAACCATTATTGAGTAAAACCTCTTTAGTGTGAGAATATGATGCTAACTGAGCTGCATTTACAACCATAGCCCTTCCCATTGTTGGAATGGTACCTCTCCATAATGCTAAAACACCTTCTTCTCTAACTATGCGAACCAAGGCATTAAATACATTTTTGTAATTGCGTCTTTCAGCTGAAAGTATAAGATCATTTAGAATATCAATTCCCCTACTACATGATGACGAAATTATGGGCATACCAAGAGGTAATCTGCCATCAGCGGTCATTCTAATCAAAGCTACTTCAGCTGGAGTACCTACAAATGCTCCTACACAACCAGCAGCACTACCCATCAATGCTTTTATAAGCACGCTTGGTTGACTGTCCTTTCTGAATACAATGGCCATCAAACAATAACAGGTAATATATACAACATTTTTTGTACTTTTGACATTGATGTTGTTTAACAACACAAGTTTGTTACTAAGGTATACTTACGAGGCATTTTCAGACAGCCATGCGTAAGTACCAAGTCTTGCTGTTGTATATGTACCCTGACGTAATAAACCAGCAGATAAACCTGTATAAAAAGCTAGGAAACCCTCTCTTTTAACTATAGAAGATACTATGCTCATTGTAGATGTTTTTGTACCACTTAATTGCATTCGATTTTTTATCAGATCTAATGGTTGGACAAAACATGTTGCAGCCATTCTAAAATAAGATAATTCAATAAATATGAAATCTTTAATTTTATAGATTAAATCTATGTTTTCAAAATGAATGTATATGCATAATAAAAATAACTTGATACCTGAAGGAATGACAAACATAGTACAGAGTGCAAAAAGTTATTTTTAACTTTAAAAATTGGAAGCTAATACTAAACTTTTACATAACTTGCGAATAATATTGTAGTTTTTTGTAAAAATGTGTTTTTCTTTTTCTTAATTAAACTCAATAATAACTTGCAATAAAATTGTACTTAAAACAATTATCTATTGAACACATTTTGTACACAATTTGTTTAACATTCTTATATTAAATTCCATAAAATGATTATAACATAACAATACAAAAAAGTAGTCAAACAAACCCTGCAGTTCCACCAATAAGGAAGTTTACTGCACTCGGCACAGTCTTTTGGTTGCTCATTTTGACAAGATTCTATGACACTTGAACAATCAGTCAAACTATAAAAATTCTTCAACTAAGTCTAGCTTAAATTGATCTTTGAACCAATTGTTTTTTGATAAACCAGTTACTGATACAACAATTAACTAAAACATTATTTTCTGCTCGAGATCGACTAGTCACGAGGCGTAAAATAATCTAAATGAAAGATTATCAAGTTGTGTGAAATTCCATCTTTCATCTACCGATACATACTAAATTATAAAATTTTGCACACTCAGCGACATCTTGTAGCGTATGACTACCCAGGGTACCGCAGCAGATAAGAGAAGTAATAAGTTGAAAAATGATTAGATTGCAAATTGCAAAAAAACTAACAATAATGTTAGCGAGACATCGATAATACAAAGTGCTTTGCATCGAGTAACAAACTTTTTTATCATAAAAGATTTAAATACAATTCAAAAGGAGAGTTTCACGGTACGCATGCGTGAATGTGCGAAGGCGTCGGGCGCGCGCGCGCGCGCGCGTGCACTATACATAAAGTATGAAATTATATTTTAAAAGCGTACGTTGTACGTTATAACATGTAAAAAGTCTGTAGTATTATCCTTACGAAAAAAATTAGTTTCCTACGGTTGTGGTAACAACATTATTTCTATGTTTTTCGTCATGCAACATAATAGAACATTACTAAAAGCAAAATCATGCGACTCACCGTTCGTTGAATTTGCGTTCTCCTTTGCAGGAATTCTTTCGTGTTGTATCTTCGTATTTTATGGGTCGGTTCCACAAAATCGTGACTGGTTCTTGATCTGTGAACACGAAATCAAATACTTGTTAGATTACACGTTATTTGAACGGATAGAAAAGTGAAAATTATCAGAGAAATTTGTTCAAGGTCATTGGCTTAACGGTCTCGTAAAACTTATATGCCTACAACTTCATATTTAGAACTTAATATGTTAAAAAACTTACCATAATCAGTTCCCATGGGCTAATTACATCTATTATTCAATCACACGGCATCACAGAATGTTAATTCTTGGAATATTTCATTAAATTGTCACAATCGACGAAGGAGAGACGCGCACGTTTAAGACCGTTAGGACGAATGAAGACCTATGGGTCATGTGACTATGTACTCCGTAGGACGTTTGAAAAAGGTTAGTCAAAATGGGGCGCCAAAAATAGAATTATCAATTAAAAAGTGGAAAATACAGAAGAAAGAAGTGGCAAAAAAAAGAAAAATACATCAAAGTAAAATTTATTGCATTCAGGTAATATTCAAATTTCAAACAGAAAGGATTTATGGGTTTATTGTATACCACATTGTCGCCGGAGGTGGCGCGATCTTTTAGACTAACGTAGTATGCGTCATTAGTCGGTATCCGGCAGTGCCAGTGGTTACATGAAGTTGAGACTGATTGAGACAATTCGGATGTTTTGGAAGCAATCGACAGAAAAGGACTTCTACTACTAAATAAGTGAGTTAATTAGAATTCCGTAATGTACACGAATATTCGATGAATAGTTTTTTAAAGAAACAATTGAGATATCAAACAAAAATACAATATATTGGGAACATGATTGTGCGCGCGATCTCGAAGTTGTGTTACGACGCGTCTATAACGGTTTTCTAGTTGAAGTATGGTTTATTCGACAGATATGTGTATCATTAGTGTAATTGAAGTCTCGAAGTATATCTTACAAGTCAAATTATGGTTCATAGCCGTTTAATGTCATCTACGAACGCGTAGTAAACGTTCGTTTGTACGAATTCAGTTTCAATATCATACGAATATTGACTGTTCTTTTCTTTGCTTTCTATACCTTGACGTTGATGGCGTACATTTTCATCTCGTTAAAATCGAGGCAGTCATTTTTATAGAAACGAGTATGAATCAGTAGAAGCTTTCAAAAGATCGCAAACTCAAAGCATAGGTCTATAAAATAGATGAGACTACAAGAAAAATTCGTTCTTATATTTCAATAATTACTTTTATTTGTCAGTTTTCATAATGAGACGAATGAACGAGGGATGTCAATTATACGATGCACACTGTACAATAAGCATTCAAGAATATTTACAAATGCCAGACATATTTCAGAAATGTAGATCGGGTTTTCAGTTATCGATTGTGTCCGCTATTTATTATTTTTCTGTGTTGCTAAAAAGTATAATACGCACATTAATGTAACACGGCATTTCTTTGAAATAATCGACGAAAAAGTTTATACAATAGGCACAAGGTAAAAACTAAAATTTCAGCCGCGAAAGCATTGTTTAACAGACTTCTGCACGTTTAAGCAACTACATTCGTTCTCGAAGATACTTTCAAGATCTCGTTACTCGTAGACTGTGCAATTATAAATATATTCTATTATTTTAGAATTATAGCTTTCTTTTCTGTATTTATACATTATAAATGTTTTTCAACTGATACAAAAGAACTCAATTCTCTCGAAGACATTCATACTTTATTACGACTAGAATAAATAAAACGTTGAAAAATATTGTAATGTAGCACATGATTGGAAATGTTTTATACCTCGGTCAGGAAACGTTTCACAGGGCAGGGGTATTGTTGTTGCGTCGCGAACGCTCTGTTATGAAATTCGATACTCTCTCGAAACGCAAACACTGGAGACCGGTTACGGAGATAACGCACTTTTAGCTTGTTTCACCATGGTATTTTTAAGGACAGTGAAAAAAATAAATCTTTATTTTAAGGCCGTTGCTTTGAAGTCTAGCTAGTACGATTAAAAAATTTGTGATAAAAAATTTAATTAAGTTTAGCTAAGTTTTGTTGTAATTTGGTATATAACTTTGCACCTTGATGTAAACTTATCAACTAGCAATAAGTTCATACAGGGAAAAATGCGATATGTACCTACAAGTACACGTAGATACATGCATTGATGGTTTACGGCATTATCGTATTTAACGCGAGTAACAATCTTTTATTCCCGTTTCGATTCTAAGTTCAGTGTCGAATTAATACACTGATTGTGTGTGACAATTGTATCTGTCTTAAAATTCCTTTCGAGTTTGTTATTTTTGAGCGTACTCGAGTACGCGTCACGAAATAATTGTATTTTGTGCTTATTGACATTCTCTCTGCATACAGTAACATGACGAATTACATTTCCTTTGTAATCGTTCGAAGAGTGTAAAAAGTAGTAGAGTACGTGAATTAGGTTAGACAACGTTACAATATGTTTAGCTTGAACGATAAGGTGAGGAGCATAGAAACAGTATAACAAAATATATGAAATATTTATAAAACAGCTGCTTTCATTGACATTTGTGAAATCACGATGTTACCGTAACTAGAATCATTTTCATTCTCGATCGTCTGAATTGATTTTTCTACGATTACTGTTCTTCGTTTAAATAATAAAATTCATCGAATCTCACAATTGTCTGAAGGAGACTGATTGATATTGACCAAAGTTTTCGCGTTTTTTTTACATCCGCCAACGCGTGTACCCTCGTTACCGGAAGAGATTTTCACAAATGACGATGAAAGGTGAAGAAATACTATTGTTGTGCATGGCCAAAGCCGTGCCTTATCACATATTTTCGATAGAGACATATGTATGTATACTATTTACATTAAATCCGTTGAAGAATTACTTACAATTGGATATACACTCGCCTCATACGTCTTGATATGGTACATTAACTTCTCAACTGATCGGTTAATCTGTATATGTACGACATTATCTTGGTATCTACCTTGAAAGAAACAATGTCGAATGCAACAGCTACTTTACAGTATCTATGTATTATGTATTCTAATTTGGACGTCGGCGTATACATCGAAATTTCTTGTGCACATTATTGCTACGCTAAAGTCGAAAGTTTCTGCCCTTCGGTACTTTTAAAGTCTTCCCATTTTAAAGAAGACTGCGATATGAAACGTTGCACGTTTTTCATTTCTTCCTTTTTATTTGCAAGACCAGTGCGGCACGGTCTCGAACGCACTTAGCGAATTTATTTACATCGAATCTCACGCAAAAGAGCAAGTTTAATTGTAAGTTTGGAAAACACATTGCGACCACTCGAATGAAATACATAGTTTCGCAAACTAGATTAATCAATCACAGCAACACGTACATACATGGAATGGTTGAAGCGAAATTCTTTCGAAGAAAAATAGGTTTCCAATACGTATTTACATTGATACTCGATTTTCGAAGATTCACGTCAGCAGACTCGATTAAAAAATAGGTCTCATATAAAAACTTCTTTTTTCGATCGTTTCAAGTATGTGAAATCAGTTAGTTATGAAAAATGCACGAACAATATATGTATCACGATTACTTTTAAATTCAAATTCATGATTGTACACGTGCTTGAGTATAGAGGTTCAAATGTACACCTTCAAACGGCTAAAATGAGCAGGGGCATTGTTGCCGTTCAAATTAATTAATTTTGAATTTCACGAGTGTTGCGTAAAGTAATGAAAAGGATTTGTAGGTACTATTTTCAATGACTGCTGTCCGAAGAAGTAGTTTCGATCACAACTGTCTCTAATTCGCGCGCCTAGAGAATTTATAGATTTTCAAAATTCCACGAGGTTGGCGTTAATTCTGTTGCTTGTTGCTTCTCCCCAGCCGTTTACATTATCATTTCGTTTTAATTCGCATCTTTCTATGAATGTTATGTTGCTCCGTTAACCCTCTGTTGTGTCTGAAGGTGTTCAATCATCGAACGGATCGAATTTCAATGATCGTGATTCTGGTAGTCGGCGTACAGTACTCAATGCTTGGTATAAAGCCTCGTTGTCAGCATCGCCGGCACTAAACCTGTGAGATTTGTTTTCCGGATCCCACGTAGAATTTGTCGATCTATATAAACGAGGAGGGATGTGTTGTTCTCCATGACCATTTCCGAAGAGGAAGTTATCATTTCCTAGAACAGTAACTCGTTAATGTTATAACACATATGTGTGTCTATGCATGTAGGTTCGATCGTAATTGGAATTTAATATTTCACGATTTGTATAAATCTATTTAACGCTCAGTGGCAATTACCTCGCAATGGGATTGGCGATTGTGGCGGTGTGCCAGCAACAGGCGATAGGGGTTCGTACGGTGGCGGTGGGGGTGAAGATGGGGATGGTGTGGGGGAAGGAGGTTGTCTTCGAAGAACGTCTGGATCGAGTTCGAGAATCCTCAGAACTCGATGAGGATTCGCTCGAACCCAAGATTCAAACACGTCTACGGGCCAGTCGGTTTGCGACGATGCATCGCACATCCCCGTAGGAGGATCCCAACATATAGCATCCGGTGGATGGGACGAACTTCTAGCTAAAGCTCCGCTACCACGGTTCGCGGGTGTTGGCAAGTTTGGATTACTTTGTGGCATAAATGCCAGACTTTGTAAAGCTTGAATCGCGTTTCTCATCTAGACATTTTTATCAGATTGATTATAAAATAAATAATTGAACACCTCGCGACGCTAGTTTCAATAGTCTTTTTTCAACGAACGCACCTCGTAACTGAGCATAGCGACGTCTTGATGCAGAGCAGAATGCTCTTCCATGGATTCTTGAGCCATTATTTGGGCTGCCCTTCCTCTTACCAGAACACCCCTGCCTTGTCTTCTTGCTTCCCTATACTCCTCTCTATCGCAGTATACATGTAGATAGATAGAAAGTAAGTAGCAGTAGGAAAAATCGTGACAAACATACCTGAATTTAGTGTGTCGTGGACTCGACGTGTGCAAGGGCGACTTGTTTGGTGGCGATAAGGGCGAAGTTTCCCCCTCGTCGGGAATATTTTCATCGTCTTCGCTGATCGATGGCAGGGTTAACGATGGTCCGTTCATGTCCGACTCTTGCTAAAAGTTTGTGCAGGGAAATGTTGTCAGAGGAATATCATCCCTCTATGTTTTTCGTTGCGGCATCGACTTACCTCAGCTTCGTAACCCTCTCGTATATTGTACGTAAGATCGTGTTGTATGTCGTGCGCAAATTGGTGTTGGTACTCCGGGTACAGACGAAGAACTTCGACTAGTCCTTGCATGTGTATGCATTTCAGATCGCAATAGGTTAGCGCTTTAACGTCGCAGCTCGATTTCACTACGATGTCTGCAGATCCTGAACCACCTGTACCACCCCCATTACAGCCTTGTTGTAAATGTACGTTTATATCGCATCCCACCATGTCACCTTTCCCTTTAAGTGAAATCATTCGTTGTACAATACGTCGAGTCAGGCCCGACCAACGAAAATATCTGGATCATGTAAATTGTACTACCTAAAATCGCGACGACCATATCGTTTTGTACGACTTCCATGGAACCATTGCATAAATAATAGATGTACGAAAGTGCGTCCCCTTTGTGAGTAAGATATTCGCCGGGAGCACAGAAGTTATTTCGGATTCGTAGGGAAAGTAGTTTGAGACAGCCCTGAGAAGCAGTGTCAAATATCGGTAAACTGAGAATTTCGCGATGTAAATGCATCGAAACATCGCCCCTGAGTTCCTCGGGAAATTGCTCGAGAGTCTGAAAGGATTAATACGATTTCGTCTCATTATTCTGCGCATTAATCAGGCACAGGGACGATTCGAATTACGATTGGCTTAGGATTGTCGCAACGCGTGGCATAATTATTGTACGCGTGTACATATGTATAATGTAGGTAGGTATACCTCGTGTATATCGATACCATGATTCAGGGACCACATGGTCTGGAAATAGTCTTGCATTCGCTGTTTCAGTTCGTCAGGGATCTGATGCAATACGAAAAAATCCTTGAGATCCCGTAATTTAGTCTGATAGAGTGATCTTCTAGAGTAAATTCTTTGAATAATCGCCGTCACGTTACCGAACACCACAGCATGCATCAGAGCTGTAGCATACACGACATGTACAGTGTGGAAATATTCCCTACTGTAAATTTATATCAACTGTATTCCGTACTAATTAACATCGTTCGCTTCTAGTACACGTAAGGTATGCATATGCGAGTTCTTAGCGAGCAAGCAAACAAGCTTATAGCAATCGATGCACGATTATACAATAATCAATTTATAATCCTTGTGGATTAACACGTGTACTATATTGATCGATGATGATTACTAACCGCCAATAAGCATCGCGCAAATGGAGAATAACTTTTCGGCGAATGTGTTTGCCGACACGTTGCCAAATCCTACCGACGTTAAGCTGCTACATGTGAAATACAATGCTGTGATATAACTTTCCGCGTGTGTTACGTTCTGCACGGAGATCTTTAATCTCTCCGCCAGCGTGTGAATCCAACCTGAAAAATTCATTCGATTAGAGTTCAATCCTCCATTAGCATTTGACTGATTGTCGAATATTAAAAGATGGTACTGTCATCGTAGAGTTTCCACTGCGATCGGATTTTTGTGCGGTATGGCACGCTTTAAAATATGATGCGAATGTCGGTCACAAGTGTGCCGAAGCCGATAAAATCTATTCAATCGCGTCGTCGAAGTAGGATGCACGAACGTGCATTTTTAAGGTGGATAACAGATTGAATCTCTGCAGAGCTTGCTGGGAGGTTTGCCGGAGCAACCGTGCTGTATACTTATGTACATAGATGCTTAGATAGAATCAGCGGTATATTCCTTCTTATGTTAGAACTATTCGGCAAGACGTAATTAATTTACACGGGTAGATTTCGCGAGAAATGCTGGTGGATACGTGCCTGCCTCGAGGAAAATGTTCTCGGTGAAATTACGGGATACAATTTCTCTCTAACGTGAGAGAAAAGTTTCGCGGAATGACGCGAATATACGTTTGACTTTTCCGAGCACCAGTTTCCATGTGTCGCCTAAACCTCTCCGAGGAAAAGTTCCTCGAAAGAGTACACGCGAGACCAATCTGTAGGTACATATGTAGATACATACGTATGCACATCTAAGCATGTACGTATTTATACATAGAGGATGGATTTCTGTACACGCTCGAACAATCCCAGAAAACCTGGGAGAGCTACGTTACCTTATAAAAATCATCGACTTACCGAGATCCCAATCACTGTCGTTTTTTAGCCGTTCCTTTTCCGCGATAACGAACCAAACGCAGGCCATCCAATGAGCCAACAGGATAAAAAGTAGCATTAACATTGTCAAAATTACGGCACTATACTGCGCATATCTATCCATCTTTTGAAGTAATCGCGCGAGCCTTAGCAATCTTGTTAACTTTACTAAATGTATGTTACCATGTCCTGATTCCTGTGACAAAAATCTGCTGTTAATTATGTGATTACTTCGTCACATTTATCGTGCCGATTCACACGGTAATTATCGGTTCCAGATAATTCGGAAGGAACGCGACCGATAAGAATTTTCGCGTTGAATACTCGGAATACCTCGGGGTTGTAATTTTGATCGAGGTTAGTTACGAATTTCTTGTGTATCTGGAACTTACGACGACTGGATGATTGTACCATTCATCGTCCAGATACTTATCCATACGGCGCTCGGTACACGTTGCAATGTATTCGTCGTTTAACGTAATAATACATCGTCCTTCGATAAATGAACTCTATTCACAACTCGATTCTTAATATATATCGCGTAGACAGCATTCTGTGCGTATATTTTCTTTCCTTAGATTTTACGATAATATCGAAATTTTGTTAAATTTTTGAAACAAAGTGATTTGTAATCCCGATGAAAATTTCGTAATCGTCAGTTGGAGTAAAATTTGAAAATTCGCGGCTCAAAAATCGATTACCTAGAGTATAAAATTCGAGATTCAAAGGCAACTTTTTCACGGGAATATGGAATTTAGTTTTGCAGCGTATTCAACGCGCAGTCGAAATTTCGAGTGCTTTTCGTGATAATGATTGAATACTTACCTCACCGCTGTAAACGTCCGAGGCGTAAAGGAAATCAAAAGGCAAAGCTGCGACTAGATCGACGACAAACCAGCTCTTTACATAGTTGACGGCAATGCTTTTGCTGTTGCTGACTACCTCGCCCTTTTTGCTCACGTATGTTGTTCGAAAGTTCAGAACAATATCTGCAGAAAAGCGGAAACGCGTTCGATCATTTCTCTGTTTTCGACTGTTCCCGATAATTGCCACGGCGATCGCGCGCCGGTTAGAAATGAAAATGGCCACGATAAATGGGAAACAGTGGGTGTATGATGTTCGACCGACTCGGTCAAAGTGGCAAACTAACTATACTCTTATATGTGCCTATTTAGTTGCTTGTCCTTCGAGTTTCGCGGCACGGAAATGTATCGCGTAAACTGCATTTAATCCCGTTTGCAAACCAGATTTCCCCCACGGAATTCTGACTCACGTTGCATTCACTTACGCAGTGGACAACTCGAGTAGTTTCGTGCTGGAAGTTATGGCGGCGACGACGAGTGCCTGGATGTCGAGTGGAAACGAATTTAGCGACAGACAGGGTTGAGGAAAGGAATCTTGGTACGGTTCTTCTTCCATTTCACCCACGAATCGGATTCCACGATTTTTTTTTTCTCAAAGAGACAGGAACTCGTCGAACACCCGGGAAGAGTCCCTCCACGGAAGATCGTTATTCGATATTCAACGCGATAAGTTAACCAAGTATTTGTAGAACGAATCTATCGGTTGCCGAGGGTGGATTCGAGGGTGATTCGAGGGGTTTGTTTCGTGACGGAAGCTGGGTTAGAATTAATACGATCGACACCGGGATACGTTTGTGTTTTCCCGTCTCGTTTCCACATCGAGAAATAAATAAATGTGTCGACGTTAAAGTAAGCTTGGCTGTGTTCGCGCCTGGGGAAAAGTAGTGTCTCGTCGGCATGGCAGTGGTTCGACGATGGCAACGAGAAGGTGGTGGTTGGCAACCGGGAACGGGAGAATCGTTGCTTTCGGACTTAACGAGCTCCTCGAATCACCAATTGGATAAAAAGAGCACACTTCTAGGTCCTTCTCGGTCCTCGTCGGTCCTTCACGTCTGAATTATTTTAAAAGCGTACCAATCGATATATCGAGAATTCTAGATTTAATTTATTTTCGGTTCGTTTCAATCACTCGAAGGAAACAAATTGGGGATCGTATAACTAAGTTTGGACTATGCATGACTACCCACCGATTATAAAGAGAGCCTCGACGACAACGTCGCTGACCATCGTTGGTCTATCGGTATTAATGAAGCTCGCGTTGAAAGGGACAACGATTGCCACGTAAAACGTCGCAATTAGTATTAACCAGTCCCAGCAAGACTTGAAGCCGCCGTAGTGACTTAAGACGAATTGAGATTTTTTGATTCCCGTTGTTTTATACTCCGGCAGGGGTGCTGCGGTGGAGTGCAGAAGATTCTAGAATAATACATACACGATAGTCTTACGAAACGATCGGGTCACCGATGGAATACTATAAGTTTCCGTCTATGTATTCGTTTTTTTCTATTCAACGGGGAAAAATGTATCGGTGCGTAACAATACGGGATCGAATCACTTACATTGTTCAACTTAATTTTATGCTTATTGTCCTGTTTGTAATGGCCTGATAGTTGATAAAGGACGGCGCGACTCCTTCTCCTCCCACAATTAGCTGGCGGTGCCTCCGGATCGAGACCACCATTTGCATCTGAAATGCAATTGCACCATTGCAGCGCACATTTCTTGCATCGTACACTTTGAAAATTAGTTCGCGTGCTACTAACGAACTTCATTGCAATATAGGTGCCTATATTTTTCTACAATTAATAATTACAAGCAAGCATAGTCGACTCGACACGCCTCGTTCCGTCGTGCGTTGTTCGAATTGCATTTTCGTAGTTGCAAACCGCGTGTCGGAAATATCTTCGAATCGAGTGAAATATTCGCGTGGCTTCTCTAGGCTGATCTTGTAAGAAACGTAACACGTGCAACGACGGCGTAATGTATAAATTCTACAAGAAAAGCAAACTATTCGAAACTGTTGACTGGTTTGATTTGTGCTCTTCGGTGTTTCGCTTTGAAGAATAGCGTTGCATTGCGTATTACGTGTATATGTATCACGTGCAGCGTGTACATTGCGTGAATCGCGGTGTAGAAAGTACGAAACGTTAGGGTACCGTCGAAAAATTATAATATATGTATGTACTTTAGGAACGTTTAATCCCATACTCGATGCACGGGTGTCCGTGATCTCGGATACTTTGGAATGCAATTCATCAGTCACGTCGATCGAACCGCATTCCAGGGAAAATCGTTTCGTCGGGTTGAATTCGGCGGCGAAGCATAGCTAAAACTCACCACTGTCGTGTAACTCACAGAGCTGAGAGTCCTTCGTGTTGGTGATGTCTTTGTGCGATGCCAAAAACAGAACAACGTCGCCCTTCTCGTTTTTGATCGGTACTATGTCGAGCAAGCAATTGAATGGATTCCCTGTGAATTAAAGTCAATCAATAAATCTCGTTACGTTTCACGGTGAAAAAGCAAAAATTAATCGCTCGGCGAACGAACGATGGTGGCTTCATAAATGTCATGTTGCACGGATATGCCCTGCAAGCGGTTATTTTTCCAGAAGATAGGTAACAGTATATTTCGAAAATCTGGAGTGGTGGCCATGCACAAATATTGTAGAACTCGACCGGATCGATTACTTGGATTAAACGTATGTTATTGCATCTGTGCTCTGGGAGCACGTGTTTGCGTGAAACCGCTCAGATTAATTCCACTATAGGTACATACGTGCAATATAAACTCTATCGTTTCCGGTACCGTAAACCCGTAACATTATTTCGTGCGGTAAAACGAACGTCTTTGGGGAAACACGTTTATTAAGACCGCCGTTATACATATTCCGTAGTTTATCTTTACAGACAAACCACACATGACAGCGTTAACGGTCGAACTTGAGGTTGCTAGATGGGAATGAATTAAAGATCGATACGTTCCAATGTCTGTAATTGACTTCCTTCTGGCTCGCAGCGTTGCCTCCAGGATACGAGCCCCCGGTGTGTATCTCTTTTTAATCGAGCGTACTCAGAAATAAGGGAAACTTTTCAGTACGCTTTACTTTTCGCAGTTGAAATACAATGTCGTAGCTTACTGTTCTTCTTATAAAACACCACCTCCATCTTCAGTTCCGTCTTGCTCTCGAGGCTCTTGTCGATCATCGCTCTTTCCTCTTCTTTCGTTTCCGCGCCGTAAAGAAACTTGCAAGCGCAACCCTTCTGCATGATTTGCGCTCGCGCGAATCCTGTCAGCTCGCAGAAACCGTCGGAGCAATAAACGATCGGGTAGAGCGACGGAACCTGCGCATTTCCCAGCACAAAGTTGCTGTCTGCAAACGAAACAAAGGGATATACCATTAAAGGGAAGAACGTGTGCCAACGTGGTTATTGTTTCAGTCGAAAACCATTGGCTCCTAACTAGTTCCCGGTAAAATGTTCTATCTTACTTTTCGATCGTGTTATCGCGTATTTTACAAAATATCTATTTTCCCATGGATTCAATTAGACGCGAATTAAATTCCAACTTGGCTATTTCGAAATGGGGATTCAATCGGACCAACGACATCGTACATAGAGCAACTGAAATAGGAACGAAGCACGATGCTCCGTTTGTAAACTTTTCTGTTTGTCACCGACTGCACAGCAATTTCCACTCGAATCAAAACCGAGACGGATAAATAATATTTTGATAATTACATGCGTGAGGTGCGTGATGCAAGAAGATGTTGCATGATTGCACCGCGTGGTACAGTTCAATGGTTGATAGCTTTGTCAACGTCTCTGACGTCACGCGTAATCAGTTTCAGGGTAACGACGGTACTATTTTTAATCCCACGCTTACCCCTCGCACACTTTCATCTTTTCTCAGCCTTGCGCAATCTCAGCTCCCTACGCTTCCTGTTCTTTGACAGAAACTCGATGATTCCGATTATCAAGGAGACTTCGTTGAACATTAGCTTTTCCGTGGTGTACCTTTCCTTCCATCGGAGTCGGGATTCTGATTGGGTTGAAAGTGTGCCCCCTACCCCCCCCCTTCTCTAACTTTTTCTACGAAACAAATACGCAAAGGACGCTTTGTTTTCGGTGGATGAACATATCTAAACAATGTCGCGTAACTTTTTTGTGTCACGGTGACGTAGTACGAGGTCACCCTTTTGTGCCGCGTGGAAAATAATGAGTTCGGTTGCGAAGGGTCTCAAGATAAAAATATAATTTAAAGGTATCGTTCGAACATTATTTCACGTGTTTTACATAGTAGAAATGGATCGAGGTGATTTCAATGCAAATAGAATTAATTGGCTTTTCAAAAATCGATTATGAAGTTAGTACTGGTAGAATTCGGAGGGATTACAATTAGTCATTTATTACCGAGTTACCGAGATTCAGTTATTGAATTTCATTTGAATACTTTCGAACACAGAAAAATGACGGTCTGCTATAACACCCGAACGATTTCAGATAAAGGGCGCACACAGGAAGTGTAACAACTTGTTCCCTTTTTAATTAAAGCTACTACGCTTTACGTTTCTTTTTTTCGTTTCAGTACATATTTTCGTGGACTTCTATACGTTCCTAGCGACCGTGTGAAATCATCGTTCGTCGAGTCCAAATACCCTCATGCTGATATATGTATGTACACCCACGAGCAAACTCAGCTTCCATTAGGGGAAAAAGTGGCGTAAGAAAAGGGATTTCTATTACTTGATAAAATTTATTTCAAGTACTGAAATAAATGTTAAACCGAGTTTTAATTTTGCATAAATTTCAATAATTCCCGATACCAAGTGGTAAAAGGCACTTCCCCTACGCCAATTTTTCCCTTAGTGAAAGTCTAATTTGCTCCTGGTTGTACATGCACGTATGCATAGTAGCATGTTTAAGCTCGTGGTCACGACAACGACAGCGTTTACGATCATCGCATCAGCCGCTAAAAGCAGTGTAAACGCTACAGTTTCAATCGAGTCTGAGCAAAGACCAGTGAAGCCGATTGTGTCGTACACTCTACGTGTATATCACGAGACGTGTACGCGGTGAACGCAATCTACCACCGGAAAATTTCGTTACCGACAAAGCTGTTGATTCATCCTGCAAGAATTTTCATTCTTGAAAATCAGGAGAGAGAGAGGTGAACCTTAAAGCGTTGGTGGATTTGGTGGGTACGATGCAGGAATACTCGAATAGACTCCGCTTGAAATCTTCTAAATTTATGCGAGGATAACTGGTAATCGGATATGCACGCGAAACATCGTAAATAATTAAACGAACCGTTAAAGATTGATGTAGTTCGCAAAAAGCGAGTTTTAAACAAATACATATACGTTTAATGACGTCGTAGCTGTGCGCTGTAGAAAATACGCGGTGAGAACAAACCAAGAAAAGAAAGCTTGATTTCTTGTTTGAGTAGAGAACCGCGTTTCAGTTCTTTACCTCGTGGATACGGGAACCTTTTTTTCCCTCCAGCAGCTCAACTCTGATTAAAGCTTGAATATAAATTCGACTTGGTATGAAATTGAACAAAACCATCGGTGTATTCTTTGTGGAATATTTCATAAGTTCGTCCGAGCCGCGGCGTTATCTACCGTTCAGTGGTATCGTAAGGATTTAAATAATTCGTTTTACCTATAAATTACTGCTCGCCTCGGTTCTCGAGCGCGTGTAAATCCGGTTTCGAAATTAGTCGATAAAATTCAACGGGCAAGTTGGTCGTATGCAATCGCATCGAATATTTTCGGAACAGAAACCGTATTCAGAACGGGCAAACACGTATTCGCGTTTTCACGTTTTCCGTTGGTTAATTGAAAAGCGATAACTACGTCATAAGTTCCTAGTCATATTTCACTGTAACCGCAAAATAATTAAGTGGATATAACCGTGTGTTGCTCTAGCTATTGTGGTTAACCCGGCCGCATTTATGTCCCGATAGATACGTTGGATAACAATATTTACGAGATACGATCTATATGCTTCCTATGCACCTATAAAAGATGCGGTCCCGAATTTAGTTGCTTTATTTTTCAATTATGAAATAAATGCCTAGTTTTATATATCGTTGTTACAGCGATGTTTCAGAGGATTAACGAAACGTGATACTTGATAATTTACGAACGTGTGGAAAGTGTTGCGAAACGCGTGGTAATGAAAACCATGGGTTTGCATTTAACGATGGTAATATCAATGTAGTTAATACGGATGTAAAGTTGGTATTACCCATACATGTCGACCTTGCGCTTTTCATCACGTATCGTGGACTTCGGTAAAGTCTTTGCAAATAAAGGGAACGTTCGTGCCTTGACAGTATTTCTCTCGTTGCATTCTCTATCGTTCGTTTGCGTGAAAATTTTCTTCTAAACACAGCTCCTTCGACACCACGGCTCTGACCAAACGCTTAATGGATGAACCCGATGCAATTTCTATCGGACTGTAACAATTGTTGGAGATACAGGAAATTGGCTTAATCGTGCTTGAAATTGCCACGAAGATGGGGTAAATTATATCAGCCTGACGTTGATGAGAGTATATTCAATATGCTGCAATATGTATATTTAAATGAATTTACATTATTTATATTTACTGTTCTCTATTTCCATCCAAGGAATTAATAACACTTGGAAATTGTAATCCATTTCTTTTTGCGTATTGTCGTAGACGTAATATTCTTGAAAGGTTTGCGTGTACCCGTAGAGGGTTGACCTCCGTTGCTTCTTTTAACACTCCGTAACCGAAAATATTCTCGTTCCGCGAAGAAACTTTTATCCCGTTCGAGCACTTAGCGAGAATGTTCGTGTCATCGCGTTTCTTTTTCATCCGGGGCCATACCTTTTCATTCCGGATTATTCGAATGTCGGAAATCCTATAATAAGTATCAGTTGTTCTAATATTCCTTATCAAGACCGAAAGTCTGGAAACAAATTGTTGCACGATACCGTTGCGACGAGTAGAAACGATATTTCTTATTTAAAATGTTCGTTCTTCGACACAATTTAAGGAGGAAGACCGAGAGAGACTCATTACCAGCGAAACTTTATCAGTCAGTGATTGAGGTTGGTGACGATTATAACCTAGCAATTTCCACTAGGGTACGTGGTACACCGTTTCTCTTAATCAGATTTCTGGAAAATTTCGAGTACGTGGAATTACGAGGCAAATGGAACAGGTCAGCCTTGCTTTCCGTGCTTTGAATTGGCTCATTTCACGAAAGTCTCTGGAAGTACGCGACTTCTCTCCGTCACTGCGAATATACAAAGCCTCGATATTCCGCAAACTGATCGTTGATAGAACGGCGCAACAAATGAGGCCATTTACCGAATCTTTTCCAATGCTTGTGTCATATGTCTCTCGTAAGAATGACGATTGAACAGGAAACAAGGTACATTTACCTCAAAATTGAGTAAACTGATTTCATTCTATGTTCGATCCTATCGTGCTTTAGATATTCTTCCTCTTATTGTCGCACGGGAACAAGTGCGCCAAAACAAGAAATGTGAATTTTCATTTGAAAAACGTGCCTGAAATAAAAGACTCGCTCCGCTTTGTTCATTCGGATCTTCTTCCTATTTCATCTCATAAGTTGTTGAACCACTTTTCGTTTTAGAATGCCTTTCTCGGGCCGGAATATGAAGAGATTAAGCTTGGCGGTATTACAAGTCCGTTTTCTAAGGGAATCCATACCGATTTCCCTCTTATAATTAGTGCCATATGTATTGCAATGTAACGCAGGTATTCGAGATGTTCAAACATTTTCATCGTCGTTCTATTATTTTATGGAACCAATATGGTCGGATTTTCGTTATTTGAACAACTACGTACAAGCAGGAAAGCTTAACTTGAACCGAGAAAAATTGTCGACTAACTTTTTGTTTCATTTTGCATAATACAAACATTACATTGCAGTAGAAGATAAAAATAGTTTACTACCGCGTATAGTAGTTTATACGACTGTGTGTATTTTCAGGATACGCAAAAGAACAGGAATTTCGAGTTTATGGCTATAAATTGATTATTATATGTATGCATTTTGGATGGGAAGAGAAACTACGTCATTATCTTCCGTTACAATGTCGATTGTCATGATAAGATAAGTGTCATCGATATCCGACAATCATTAGGCTCTGTCCTACCGATCAATAACAAAATCCTCGACAAACTGAATGCATTTTTTGCAGGATCTTGCAATAAATAATTTTCAGTTCTTGATATTGATTAATATCTCCGTTACGTTTTCACGCGATGCTATCCATCTATCTAGTTTGTTTTCGTTGATGAATACATATTGAGATAGGCTGATTGTAATTTATCTCAATCAAAACTTTGGACGTAATTTCTGAACAAA